AGTAATATTTTAGGATACTAAATAATTTTAATACTGTTATTTGAAGAGTTTCTTTGAGATGATAGTTGATTGGCTTTAGTAATTTGACTTACCATCATAAGATAGAGTTTTCACATATCAAGAATTAGAACTACTTTAAAAGACACTTTGCTTGAGTCTTTAATGGGCATCACACACAATGGGCACTTACACACATGTGTGAAAAACACTAATACACATAAAATAAAATAAATAAAGTATGCTGATTTTTTTTTTTTTAAATGGAAAGCTGGAGATGGCTCCACGGTTTAAGAGCACCGGTTGCTCTTACAAGAGGACCTGAGTTCAGTTTCCGTTATTCACATGGCAGCTAACAATCATTCTTAACTCCAGTTGCAGGGAATCTGATGCCCTCTTCTAGCTCTAGCCTCTATGGGCATTTCATGGCATAGATGCAGTTATATACATACAGGCAAAACACTAATGTGTATATATATAAAATAAAAATTAAAGCAAAACTTTTTACAAGGATAATTACATGATCTTCCATGTGCTTATGTTCTCATTTCCTGTAATTTTAAGTTCCAAATCAGTGTTGAGTGTATTCCTTTTTATTTGTTTTTATTGTCAAGTACACATTTCATCTAACCACTTACTGTATTAATCTTAATTATGGATATGTACATATTGAGGATATTCTCCTCCTGGTTTCAATTAAATATGCAGTTCCTTGCTCTGTTAATCCATTAGCCTTAATTCTGAGGCAGGCATCCAAAGACCATTATTATAAAACATTTGTAGCAAATTCTTCTTATTTCAGGAATGGGTGTAAAATTGTCAGAAAACAGAAAATTTAGAAGCAAGTGTATATTTTTATCAATTTTATGTATTTTTTAATAACTTCCAATAATATGTAGATTTATTTCCAATAATATGTGCTTTATGATATTTTTGTAGTATTAAAAAAACTAAATTTGTTTTTTTATAAAAGTGTAGTATACCAAAAGGATGGTAATGCCATAGCCATGATTCAGTATGATTAAATGTGGACTAGGGAAGGTTTTAAACTCTGCTTTCCCTGGAAACCCTGCTGATTTGTTAAATAAGAGGAATCCACTTAACATGAGGGTAATTTGCAGGGAAAATGCTAAACCTGCATTGATTTGTTTAATTTAAATGTCAGACATTTGTATTCATTAGGGTTTAATGTTCTTTACAAATTCTCGTGATGTCAGTTTTCAGTATTGCTGAGGTGCTGCTCTGTTTTCCTCCAGGTCTTCACTGGAATCTTCACAGCTGAAATGGTTTTGAAAATCATTGCCATGGATCCCTATTACTATTTCCAGGAGGGCTGGAATATTTTTGATGGAATTATCGTCAGCCTGAGTTTAATGGAGTTGGGCCTGGCAAATGTGGAGGGACTGTCTGTGCTGCGCTCATTCAGACTGGTACTTGCCTTGTTCTTCACATCCCTTCCCCCATTATAGCATAGCATTTATTTTGAAATGTAGTTTGTATAATATCATAGTTTATAAAATAACATTTTGAACTTACACCAAGTTAATGTTCTAAGAATTTTTTAAGATTAGTATATTTTCTAAGAAGGATAAAAGCAATTGAAATATTTCATGATTCTATATATAGGACATGTTCAAAAGCATACATATTCTTTCTAAATTGTTTTACAGTCAGGAATTTGTCTTACATTTGTACATTTGTAAGGCAATAAATACAAAAGAGAGAGAGGGAAAGAGAGAGATAGAGAGAGAGAATATGTAACCCCAAGTAGTCTCAGGTTTTTATCAACCCCTCTATCCTACTTTTATTAGAGGAGCTCCTTTAAGACATGTAAGAACCAGGAATAGGGTGTACACATGTCCAGCACTTAGGATTTGGAGCTAGAAGGATCAGTACTTCCAAGTCATCCTCAGCTATATAGTAAGCTTGAGGCCTACATGTGACTCTCAAGCAAATACAAAATAAGACAAAATAAAATAAAACAAAATCAACACATACAAAATATTCGATGTATTTGGTGTTTTAACAATATAATAAATAGATTTGAATCATAGTAAAAATAATTACAAAATACATAAGTTTTGTGGGAAATTAAATGTGCACTTTTTCAAATTGAAGGGAAGCCTTTTAAAAATCAAATTAGTTTGTTATTCATTTCATATTTGTTTCATAGTGAAGAAAGTGTAATTCGTACTTCAGACATTGCTTTTCTGTTTCCAAAATAGGATCAGAAGGTAACAGTTGATAAATTTAACAATGTCTATATAGTCAAAGTAGCAATTTTTTTATGAGTATGCCTTTTGATAAATCTGAAATGAGATATTGGGGGGGGGTAGGGGGATTGACACAGAGTCTCCCTATAGCTCCAACTGGTCTGGAAGTTATGTAGGCCAGGCTGGCCTTGATCTCACAGAGATCCATCTGCCGCTGTCTCTCTAATGCTAGGAGTAAAGGCATGTGCTACCAAGCTGGGCCTGAAAATGAGAATTTAAAAAAAATTTTTCTCATTTAAATGATATAATTTGACTTACAATTCTAATACCACTTTTCGATAGACTCATAAATGATGTCTACCTTCCAAAAGTACACTGTGATTTGCACTGTTTACTTTTTTTTTTTTTTTTTTTTCCAAATACCTGACAAGAAGCAACTTAAGGGACGAAAGATTTATTTTGGCTGATGGTTTGGGTATACAGTCCATTGTGGTGAAGGCATGGAGGTCAGTACAGCTCTCAGCTAAGACAGCAGGTCATGAAGCTGCTTTATGACATCCTTCATTTTTGCGGTGGTCGGCATGCAGCTCTTTGGGAAGAGCTACAAGGAGTGTGTCTGCAAGATCAACGAGAACTGCAAGCTCCCGCGCTGGCACATGAATGACTTCTTCCACTCCTTCCTGATCGTGTTCCGTGTGCTGTGCGGAGAGTGGATAGAGACCATGTGGGACTGCATGGAGGTCGCAGGGCAAACCATGTGCCTTATTGTTTTCATGTTGGTCATGGTGATTGGGAACCTCGTGGTACGTATGTACTGCAAATGCTCAGAGATAAGTATGAGATAAACCGTGGGTAGTAAAAGTGGCAAAGGTAGTAAAACGGCTTTCAAATTTTACAGTCAGTGGCTGAGACTCAAATCCCTCTACAACGCTCTGTGAAAAGGCAGTTTACTTAAATTTTTGAGGGTCAAGCCACCTGTCATTCAATGTAAAACAATTGTATTTTTAGGGCTTGAAGAGATCATCATATCAAAATAATATCATGATAAAATTAGTCTTGATAATAAAATATATTTTATTATCAGTGACAGCAGAATAACAAAACCGAATTCTATGGAGGATGTGAGGATGTAGGGATGTGGGGATGTGGGGATGTGGGGATGTGGGGATGTGAGATACAGCTAAGGCAAGTTTGGGATCATAAATATTACTTGTACTTTTTTCTTGTCTAAAGAAAATATATTTTATTATCAAGACTAATTTTATCATGATATTATTTTGATATGATAATCTCTTCAAGCCCTAAAAATACAATTGTTTTACATTGAAATGACTTTTTACATGTTCATAATTCACATTGTTCTGCTTAGAGGCCATACACAATCTGAGGACAAATTTCAATGAAATAAAGCATTAGGCTTTAGCTGTGGATTAGAATTATCACAGGATCCAAAATATGTTTTTCCCTAAATTTGCTTTATTAAAGAAAATAACATAGTAGTTTAAATGATTCATATATCTACACACACATATGAAGATTGAGAGTAAGAGATAAATATGGAGGGAAGGAGAGAGGGATGTGGGGAAGGAGAGAGAGAAACATATAAAAGACTGACTTTCAGAATCTGGGGGAAGGTGACTATATTTAGTTGTGCCCACTGCTGAGCCCAGTAGGCTCCAAGGGATAACTCCAAACCTCCAAGCCCATGGTCACACAGGTGGCCCTAGTTAAACACATGGATCACAAAGCAAAATGAATAGATGCGAATGTGTGAGAGAGATTTGTGGGGATGGAGGTAGACAGGGATGGTAAGGAGATTGGGGGGGGGGGTTGAGAGCTCCAATCATTATGCATTATGTACATGTAGGAAATAGTTTAAGAACAAATTTAATTAGCAAAACCCCCACAATTTGTGTATGTGTTTTAGTATTTAAACTCCTCAGTCATGTAAGGACAACCTTTTTTTTGCACAATAATAATGGGTTTTCCCTTTGAAGGATATATTTCAAATAAAATTACTCAAAGGAATACTAGTGGGATACATGCATTTTTTTCTTTGACTAATAGAATAGCTCTGGATTCAGAACAAAATCTCAAACATAAATAGAAAACAAACTGGGCTTCCTTCCTAGCCTTTGTCTTCCTAGCATGTAACATAAGCTGAAACTCAATAATTACATTTTAAGCTAAAAATATTCTCGTACATAAATTTCCCATTTTACATCAAGTTCTGTGATTATTCTTGCATTAACCATAATTTCTCAGTAACTGGGAAATCTCTTCTTTGGTTCACAATGACACTCTGAGAATTAACATTTTCTCCACAAAAGAGGGGACAAGAAGAAGCAATTTATATTATATGGGTCTAGCCTAAATCTTGCAATAATTTTAGATTTTTCTCCATCTGCTGAGCTATTTGAACACAGAAATTTCAAAGTATACTTGATGGGGAAAATGTGTGAAGCCTTATATAATTTGCATTTTGAAATTTCTGCTGTTATCAATTTGTAGCCATTGGGCCAGAGAAATCTGTGTTTCAGCTGTGCAGTTTCTGTACAAATCAGTAGATTATTAAATACATAGATTTATTATTTGTACACATGAAGCTAGACAGTCCATAGAAAAACTGTGAGGAGGTAAAACACCGAAGATGAAAATATCTTTTATTCTTGTGGCAAAAGCTATCAAAAGTGAGACTGTCTTTTCACTGCTTAGACTGGGTAGATGTGATTTAAATCTTAGATTTTTTTTTTAACCTCCTATTCTCGAAGGATAAGGGTCCTGAGTTACGATTCCTCTGTTACTGCTTGTAGAAGTATCGGGTCCTTCGAATGGTGTATGATTTCAACACAGTGTCTGGCATATACTAAACACTCAGGAAGCATTTGCTAAAACCATTTGAGGAGAGTTCTGAGCTCCCCACTCACTTGCTATTTTTATGCATATTTCAATATTAATATAGAACTATTGTTCTTTTTCCTTTTAGGTCCTGAACCTCTTTCTGGCCTTACTGTTGAGTTCCTTTAGCTCAGACAACCTTGCTGCTACTGATGACGATAATGAAATGAACAACCTGCAGATTGCAGTGGGAAGGATGCAAAAGGGAATCGATTACATAAAAAATAAAATAGGGGAGTGTTTCCGGAAAGCCTTTTTTAGAAAGCCCAAAGTTATAGAGATCCATGAAGGCAACAAAATAGACAGTTGCATGTCCAATAACACTGGGATTGAAATCAGCAAAGAGCTTAATTATCTTAAAGATGGTAATGGAACCACCAGTGGTGTAGGTACTGGAAGCAGTGTTGAAAAATATGTAATCGATGAAAATGATTATATGTCATTCATAAACAACCCCAGCCTCACTGTAACAGTGCCTATTGCTGTTGGAGAGTCCGACTTTGAAAATTTAAATACTGAAGAATTCAGCAGCGAGTCAGAACTAGAAGAAAGCAAGGAGGTAAGTATGCTTTTCAGTTCTGGCTGCATTTCCTGCATTATCCATGTGCTATCGTATATTATTATTATCTTTATGTTGCTTGGTTAAAAGATAGCACTGAGCTGGGTGTGTAATTCAGTGGTAGAGTGTTTGGCATGCATGAAGTCCAGCAATGCCCAATACCGCACAAAAAAGAGCATAGGCTAATGTTGGAAAATAATGAGAAATTGGGAAGTATATTTAAATGCAACTTTCCATGGGAAATCACCACTCTAAGTGATTAAAATGTTTGTTTTCTTGATAGCTAGAAGGTCTAATTTAAAATGCAAACTTCTGGGGCTGAAGAAATGGTTCAGTGGTTAAGAGTACTGGCTGTTCTTCCAGGTTACTAGGTTTGGTTCCCAGCACCCATTAGGGCAGCTAACAACAGTCTACAAATCTCATTCCAGGGGATCCAACACTCTCTCATGGCCTCTGCAGGCATTGCACTACTTGGGTGCACTTACACACATGCAGGCAAATCACTCACACACATAAAATAAAAATAATTAAAATGTAGACTTCAGAAAAGAGATTATTTAATACATTTTACTCCACACTACTCTTATTATAAAAATCAATGAACTGTGTTTTAATGATGATTGTACTAATGTCATCCCCTCACTCTTCATTTTGCTGAGTGTTTTTAAAGTCTTGTGTAGTTTTTGCTCACCTCTGAGAACAGCATTTGCTATGATAACATACCATCTATGAAGTATTATGCTTACTGGGAAGGTGTAACTAGTACTGATTTTATTGTGGCACATCAAAGATGAACAAATCTATGAAGTCTTCTAGATTTACCTGAAAATTCTTGCTACTGAGAATTAACACTTCAGGATTACAATGAAACTGCAGATGGAAAAGTACTCTTACTCTCATATTAGCAAATGTTAGAATGGAAAGAAAAAGGAAATTGCTTACTATGATTAGAATTCTTTGTGTCCATAGATTAGTGGAATTAATTTGACTAAAATATTTTACTATGATTTATTTGTGGACTTTGGATATAACAGTTGGAAGTCAATGTAGCACAGATGGAACCATAAAAGATAAGCTTTAGCTTGCAAGTACAATGTCGACACTGGAAATTAGGCCAATGGATGTGTGATTCTGTGAACTTATCTTGGAACTTTTAAAAAACAAGTAATCAAGATCATTAGATCTGAAATACTCAAAATAAGTAGTTCATAGTGTTACAACTCCCAGTTTCCTGATTCACTTCATACCTTTGAAAAGAAAATTTGGTAAGATTTTTAAAGGTAAGAACTATATTCAAAACGAACTAGCAAAGTTCTTTTAAATTACACTCAGATTGTTCAGCAAGTTCACTTCTAGCTTATCTTGCTCATTTTAGTAAACCAATTTTATTTTTCATCACCTGGCATGACTTTATTTAAGAAGAAATACCAATTCACTAGAAAGATTTACTGATCACTTTGGCCAGTTTGGTAGTCTACTGTATATTAGGGTTGAGGAGGTTTGGACAAAGACAAACTCTATCCTATAATTTTCAGCAAACTCACAAAATTATTACAGATCTCATTAAAAGTTTAATCTGGGTCAGGTGTCATGGCACACACCCTTAATCCCAGCACTCCAGAAGCAGATGCAGGTGAACCTCTGTAAGATGAGGACAGTGTGGCCTCCATAAGGACTTCCAGTCCAGCTGGGGCTACTGGAGAAACACCTAAAAAAAAATAGAAAAATTAATTCCGCAGGTCTGCATTAAGTTCTTAGGTTTTTAAGAATGGGGAGAGAGGTTGTTAAATGGGAGAGGTAAAATTGAAATAGGCCTCAAAATTTGGGTCTTATATAGTAAGAAGTGAAAAGAAAGTATTCTATAAGGAGAGCCAGAGCCAGAGTGAGCTCTTAGCATCAAGGTGAACATGTGGCTCAGCCATGAGGTAGTGAGTGAGAAGATACTGGAAAAGGGTGTTTTGATGGGTTGATTGCTGCAGACTGTACAGTTTTGAAGCAAGTCAGAGCTTGGAACTGGCTGTATGGTCAATAAGGATTGTTCTCAAACAGAGAGGCTATTAGGAATGTCATAGAAACATTTGGTGTTTAAGAGCAAAACAGTTTAGAATGATGATTGTCTTGGAGAATATGAAAATAATCTTCTGATAGCTGTGAGATGGTGAAATTCTGGGCTAAAATAAGAGGAAACTCAGACTAATTGACAATTTGACATGTGTAAACAATCCAGGAAATTTAAAAAATGGCAGTGCTATTGCCTGGAATGGTCCTGTGAAAATATTTAACAGGTTTTCTCTGAAAGAGTTCAACGTTGGATTTAAATTCAGCTCTCATGCCTATGGATTCTGCATACTGGAATTCAGTCAGCCATTGATCAAAAAGGTTATAGAAAAAATGTATCTATATTGGACAGGCACTTACTATTTTCTTTCCGGTATTCCTTACAAGAATACAGTGTTGGGTTAGAGAGATGGCTCAGCAGTTGAGTGCACTGGCTGCTCTTGCAGAGGATCCAGGTTTGATTCCCAGTACCCATAACTGGGTAACAACCATCTGTAACTCGAGTTCCAGGGGAATCCAACACCCTCTTCTGACTCCATGGGCACTGCAAGACATGGGTGCACTTACACACATGCAGACAATATACTCACACACATACAATAAAATAATAAATAAAATAATTTTTAAAAAGAATACAGTATAAAAACTATTTTAATTAACTAAATATTATACATAATCTAGATATGATTTCAACTATAAGAGAGTATTGTATAGACTATATAAAAATACTAGGCCAATTTATATAAAAGACTTACACATCTTCTGGTTTTGGTTTTGTAGGGTCCTAGAAATAATCCCTTGTGGATATTAAGGAATGATTGGCCACACTGGGTTAAAGGTGACAGTATTGGTCAGAGCAAAAAAAGGTCAGAGCTAAAAGTAGATTAGATAATGCAGATCTCAAAATTACTTGGTTTTCTGAAAATAGAAGGAGTGGCCAAAGAAATAATTATAAGGCAAAAATAAAATAATAAGATAAATATTAAGGAATGGATTGCATGGTTAGCTTAACTAAGATCGAGAAAAGATAAAAAAGCCAAAGAAAGAGACTTTTACTACATTAACAACACGGGGTTGATGACATTGGGTTCATCGAGAATAAATGTCCTCATTTCCTTCTTCTAAACAGCTGCATCTAAAATGCTTCAAAAACTTCATAAGGTCCATACATATTTCTTTTTAATGGCTTAAACATCGCAAATGTGGAATACTGGGATATAATTTCTTCCTCATCATAAATTTCTGGGAAATATTTATTTCTTGAACAGAATTTACTTTCTTATTAGGTAATTTCTATAACTATTCTATACACTTTCATGTTAATTGCGAATATGTGAAATCTAATCACAGAATTTAATGAAATTCTTTAACAATCTATAGATATGTTAGTATGGAAATCATCAAAGTAAACATAAGCATATATTTAAGGCTTGGTTAAATTATGAAATGATCTTACATAATAAAATTAAATGTTGACTTCACTCAGGTTTACTTAGCAAACAGTAAATTGAACATTTATTCAACAATTTAATTTGCATGAATGACAGGTTTAAATTAGTACCCACAAAACCCCACCCAAAGGGCTGAAAAGATGACTCAGCAGCTAAGAGCACTGGCTACTCTAGCAGAGGACTCAAGTTCTGTTCCCAGCACCTGCATGGTGGCTAACAACCATCCAGAACTCCGGTTCCAGGGGATCCAGCACCCTCTTCTGACCTCTACAGGCATTTCAAGACAATGGTACACTTACACACATGCAGACAATAGACTCATACACATAAAATTTTTCCTGAAAGTCATAGGAAAATTCTTGTATATGCAAATACATGTAAGGATTTAAGACAGAGTTTTAAAAAATAATCACAAAAATGATATATATTAACATTACAGGATAGATTTAGGTAAATTCCAACCAATTAAGTATAGTTCTGATCTATATTACTCTCTCTTTCTCTCTCTCTCTCTCTCATGCACACACATACACAATGACATTGTGATTCACGTTTGCTAGTTTTGTTGTTGTTTTGTTTTGTTTCTTAACAACAGTGGCAGTAGAACATTGAGTTCTACTTTGAAGAGCAAAGTAAGCTTTGCTGACAAAGTAAGCAGTCATATAATCCAAACACAACAGAGTTCTACATTGCTCCTTTAAAAACAAGCACCAAATTTCAAAAGTACCTACATTCTCTTTTTTTACGTTAGGTAGTAATTAATCATTAGCTTAGTTCATTTTAAAACCCTAGGCACTCTAATATTTCCACTCATTTTTATGATAATATATGCCTGGCAAGTATAGTCAAGAGATAAATAATCTCTAAGGGTATTTAAAGATAAAAATATGAACTTCTATTATGTCATGTATTACCTAATGTGTACTATATATGTATGTATCATATATATATATGTGTGTGAGTGTATGTATACCACTAAGATAAACAAACTCAAACCTTTGCATGAAAAATTGAAGGCATGGATTTCAAAATACTCATTTTTTATCTTAAATTTGAAATTATATAAATATCAATCTAATCTAATGTGGCAATCTAATGTAAAACTTTGATTTTTATATTTTTAATCTTCTGATAATCGTGATTTCTTAGACTTTTTATATAACTATAGATCTTCATAATTTAGTGCTTAACAGATTACTGTTTTATCTTCCCAAAGGAAGCATATAGAATAAATGTTAACAGTCGATTTCTGTAGCTGAATTCCCAACTGGGTCCAGCAATATCCTTCTGTGACCTTCACTGCTTGCCATTCTCACTCCTCACAGGCCTAAGACCAAGCTGGAGCCATCGAGAGTGCAGCTCTGGTGTTTTTTAAGCAACCAGAGGCTCGAGCCACCACTTTTACCCAGGTTACCCAAGCAAGTTGTTCTTAAAAGAATTTTGACTGGCCTGCATGCGCCGCAGCTCTATTCCTTCCCCTGCTGTGGCAAG